CAAACAGGTCAAACCTATCTCGAAATCCTCCAAAAATGGCTATTCACTTTACTGCAAGCAGATTCGAATGACTTCATTTTTCAGCAAGATGGAGCACCACCCCATTGGCATCTCGGGGTTAGAGCTTATCTGAATGAAAATGTGCCTCAGGGATGGATTGGGAAGAAAGGTGGTAAAGACCTTGCTCTCTGTGCTTGGCCTGCCAGATCCCCGGATCTCACTGTGTGTGACTTTTTCTTGTGGGGGTATGTTAAAGACCAAGTTTATGTTTCAGCACTTCCAGCAAGTATCGATGACTTGAAAAATCGAATAACAGCTGCAATCATCACGGTGGACAATGACATGCTGAGGCGCGTCTGGGAGGAATTCGGATATCGGCTTGATGTTGTCTGTGCTGCCGGTGGTGGCCACATTGAGCACTTATAAAACATGAAATGAAACTTGAATGTATATATAACACATGTGTTCATGCTAGAGGTTTGTAATTTTTTTCGTTTTTGACATATCACGTGATGATTTTGGCGTATTCTTTTTGAAACACCCTGTATATTTAACATTCTCAAACCATCTCTGGGCTATTCAGAAAATAACATACTGATTGTAGTTAAAAGAAATTAAGCAGAGAATTTCACAGAAGAAAAGGTAATAACATATAACACACAAAGTTGTTTTAAAAGAAGGTTAACATTTAAGAGAGATTTCTTTTGCAATAAAATTGATGGTAAATTAGGAATGCCTAACCAGTAACCTATAGAAAAATGCTGTAATTAATTTTGCGGACAATTTGTGATAATGTTCCTGTAAAGTATCATTAAGATCAATAGATATTTTTGCAATCAATGTTATTTCAACACGGCTTAAATGAATTCTCCTTTAAACTGGCAAAATTCTTTAGTTCCTACTATGCATGCTCACTTGTGATTAAGGGAAACATTAAAAGGCAAAACAACACATTAGATTAATCTGAAAATTCTTGTAAAAGATTTGACTAAATATGAATAATTATCAAAATATTTCATAATTGTTTCCAGTCTCTGAACAGTCTTTGAACATGATTTTTAAAATTCTAATTATTTTAACATTTAAAAGAGCATTGTGTAGACAGTTCCTGTTCCTAACAATATTTCTAACCAGTTGTATATGTATATTGAGGTATATAACAAGGCATGCAGTATTTTAATATAAACTTAGAATAGTTTTTCAAAGTTGCCTTTAAAAAAATCATAGAAATATTGTAAAAACTTTTTAATATCTTTCTATAATCGCCAGCAATTATGGTTCTTCAGAAAATCTACTTCTTACCAGAAAAGCAACATAACTTAAGAGTTCATTTATTTTTCATTAAGATCTGCCATAGCATTTTGTTTGAAGTTAGATTTCATTAATCGTTTAGAGAAACTGAAATGTTTACTCATTAACCAGACTTTTGCACAGCTTATAAATCATGTGATCAAAAACATCCCTATTATTTTTTCAGTGAATGCATTTATACAATCTATATTCCAAATTCTTTTAAACATCCAAATCACAAAAAAAAAAAAAAAAAAAAAATTTTCTATTAAATATTTGTTTGACAGGGTGTGGCAGAAACACCTCCCACATAATATTAAAACATTAACTAGATAAAGACACCATTGCCACTAATGTGTTACCTTAAGTGGGAGGTATTTCTACTGCACCCTACAACTAATCAACCAAATAGCAAAGTTAAAAGATGAAGCTTTACTGAAAAGTAAAAATAGAGGCAGTGTGAAAACAATTGTCCTATAGACAGTTCAGAAACCAAATACTTATCTCTGAAAGGGCATTAGTAAATTCTGGAAAAAAAAAAAAAAAAGTCTTAAAGATTCATGGACATATTCAGAAGTTGCGCATTTGAATATGAACCTATCAACATTTTAAAATTTCATACCAATTTTTTTATGACCAGTTGGTTAGTTGATTCTGTAGCATATCAAACTGTATGGGTTATTTAATGCTAAAATTTAAATATTTTGAATGCAATTGCATGCCTTCAACTACAGATATAATGTATTGTAGGTAATTTTACTATAAATATGTATTTTTATACTTTTATAGTGTTTTGTTTGTGGGTTCACTATTTGCCCATAGCTGGGATCCTAGCAGTTGCTACCATCCTGAGTCAGGGTAGACCTGGGAACAACAGCAATTAAGGGGTGGTTCCATGCTCGGCAAAACTGCCAATATATCGATCAGAGGTCTTGCTGCTGGATGTATTTATCGTTTTGACCAGTAAAACCAATGACAAAAGTTCTTTTTGTGTGCAGTTATGAAGTTCTTATACTATAAAAACTTGTAAGAAAACGGAAACAGGCAAATGTTAAACTTCAATAATTTACTTACATATAAAATTGCTTTATCTACTGAGTTCATTCTGTGGTTAGATTATTTCATTATTGGCAGTGAAAATTTTTATATTTTTTTTTTGGAGTTGTTCTCTTATCTGGTGAAATGGCAACAAATATAAATTCAGAAGAAGATATTGTCAAAAATAAAAAGAATATTTGTTATCTAAATTAAATACAGGACATTCAAAAAGTAAATTCCTATTTATCAATTATATAAAATTTTAAAATCTGTAATATATTTTCTACATTTAATAGGATTTATGAAAATAGTTTTTCACATAGCCTGTATATCAAAAGAAAATGTAATGGAAAATAGACAATGGAATAAAGTAACATTTCAAAGGAAAATTAAAGATTATCATTCAATCTTTTGCTTTTAGCAAGTCACATGATATTAATTGTAAAAAGAGCCAAACAAAATACATAGCTCTAATGAGACCTGAAAATACAAATAATTTATACCACATCAGGATTTGATTTATACAATAGAAAAGTAAAAGAAACTAAGATCTACATTTAAAAATTATGGCATATGTAGAAATCGTAAACAAAGATAACTCGTACACTATGAAGAAATGCATATACAAAATGTAGCAGTATTCTCAGTGGTTTGTGATCACAGAGTATCCAGCACCACAATTTTAGTGCACTCTTATATTTTTTTTTTCTTTAGAGTAAACACCATTTACAAGATTGAAATTAAGTTCTCCTGGGTGGAACTGATATGAAAAAAAAATTCAACCAGTTGATCCTTAAATCAAATTACTACATGACAACTAAATGTTTTTACTTAGGGATAATAAAACATAGTGAAGACAAAAATTATCAAGTGTTACTTGTTGGGGAAGAGGAGGAGGAGGAATTAATTTATAAGTTGAATTTAATGTTGAAGGAGAGAGAGAGAGAGAGAATTATATAGCTAAAATAAATATTCCATAAAGTCTAAAAGAAATATTTTGCAATAATTTGATAGCTTTAATTTCTATGTGCCCATAGATACATAGAACAAACACCAGTAGTAGCATGAAAGTTATAGAAAGTAAAACCAAATCTTTGCTTTCAATTTACTTATTTTTACTATCCAGTCCTCCTTTCAGTGATACAAGTGGGAAAGTGTCAAAGGACGAAAAAAATGCAACTGTATAGTTTAGCTTGGCAAAGAATTTAACATGACTTCAGTTCAGAATTTAACATGACTAAAGTTTAACTAGACACACAAACAATTTTGTAAATTTCAAATTCCAAGAAAATTCTTTTTGATGTTAAATCTCTAATGTTAGTGTTAAAATCAGAATTTAAAGAGTAAAATATATGCAGGTAGTATAACTATTCTGAAATAATTTTTCATATATGTCCAAACAACAAATATGTAAACATAGTGGCAGGAGTTAAAATTATAACCAGACTACTTTCATAATTAGGTAGTTAAGCGTGTATGTGCATGATAGGTGATTTGTTTAATTTCTTGTAACTGGTGTTGTCAATCTTGAAATCATGAAGGGTGAATTTATGGTGTTTGGCAATTTAAGTGTAAAACAGTAAATCAATTAACAAAAGTTTCAAAGCAAAATTCATAACTTGCAGAAGATGCTTGAACATATGATAGGGAGAAAAATTTTAGATCCTATATCTTTCAATATATGTAAAAATATAATCACAGAAATGAATTATAAACAGTTATGCTAGTAACATAACAATGGGGCAAGTAAAGGTCATCACAAGAGAAAAACCTACATGTTTGATGAGAGAACAGTAGAATCAAGTGTGCTTACAACAACCCATATTTTCCATTAACATATAGCAATACCAAGTATCAAGGTGCCTGACATAGAGAATCACAAGTTAAACTCACAGACCATTTACTAATGTAGTTTTGTTTGATTCTCACTGGGTGCCATTGTATCAGACAAAGCTATATAAAGTTTATAACTCAGTTTCTTCCAACCAGCATTCTAATCTTTTTTATCAGTATTTTCTGACCATATTGCATACATTTCAATTTAGTAGCTTGACATGGGACTGAACTTAGAGAAACTTAAAAAAATCTCTCAATGGAAATTAAGGCACTATTTAAATTTACTGGTCTGCTCATAAAAAATATTTTTAAAGAATTTCTTTAGATTTTCCTCAAGTAATTATATTTGTCAAAAAATATTGATTTTTTTTATCGTTCTAGAAGGGGATCATGTTCATAATATAAATACAGTATCAAATGGTGTCCTGATTTAAAGAGTTATCTGTAACTTGTTTTTATTTACAAATATCAAGTTTGAATTGTGCTTACATCATTGGTAACCACATACTATTGATGTTGCTTCTTTTTCCCTATTTGTAGTAATACTAAGTTATCAATAACATAAGCACAATTTCAAACTTAACATGTTTGTTTTTTATGGTTTATCAACCTTTTGCAGGTTATTTAAAGCCAGAAAATATTTTTAGATTGTAAGAATCTTTTGGAGATCATAATGATTTTTACATGTTTTACTAATTAATCCATAGATGGGAGAGAAGTGGATTCATACCTTCCTAAAGGGTATTTGCACAAATGAATATAACAAAACAGACTGGAATTGGAACTCTGCTTATTGATTTTCAATTCCTATCCATTACACCCTCAGACAGCCCAGCTAACAGCAACTGGTATTCCCAAGTGATCACCCATCTAGGTACTAACCAAGCTCAATATTGGTTAACTTTGGTGATCATACAAGAACCAATGTTTCAGCATGATATGGCTGTAAGCCCTTGACATTTGTAAAGAAAAACTCTAAGAAATCAGGGACTGATTTGACACTGTATTTATATCATGAACAAAAAAACAAAAAAAGAAGTTTGTTTTTTTTTCTGTTTTTTTTTGTTTTTTTAACAAGCTTACCAGTCGATGTAAGTAGTGCTAAAGTTAATAATCCAGATTGTATTATCAATCAATTTGTGTATTCCACCAAGGTTCACATAAATATCTGTCCAGCAAAGTAAACAAATTAAATATGAAATGATATCTTTATCCATTTAGCAAGAGTGTCAGTTTTCACTCATGTTACTGTTTTAAATATTAACATTGGACAGCTTATTATATTACTGAAGATTGTTGAATAATAATTCATATGCAGGAAACTATAGGTTTCAATAGAGTTCTGTGATTTTTTTTTTAATGTTGCATATGATCTGTACATATAAAGTTATAAGACTGAGTTTTAAAAAAATACATTCTATTAGCTAGATTTAAACAGTGGATTCACCAGTCTTATATGAGCAATAAACCTTACTAATCATTTGGAAACATTTGTCTTTCTTGATTTCTTAAAAACATGGCAGGATTCAATAAGACTGATAAGGTGGCAAACAAATTGGTAAAACAATATTCAACAGAGTTACTTGTGTGTGTGTGTGTATATATATATATATATATATATATATATATATATATATATATATATATCAGTACAGCACCTAAAAGATTAGATAAACTGATAAGATTTTTAAATGTCATGATTCTGGTGTGGAGAAATAACTGAGTTGCAATGACTGTTCAAAAGTAGTCAATATTTGATAAGATGAGTTTGTTATATTTGTATCTAAGGAAATAGGAATTTAAGTTTATATTAAAAAATTGACTGGAGGTTGGGGGGAGATTGTTTAAATATCAGCACCACAAATATCAATTCAAAAATCACCAAAAGGATCTTAAATACTTTTTCATTCTTTTTATATTATTTTATAGGAAATATAAATTCATGTCCTCATGAAGACATTTAGCAATGCATAAATAATTGTGATCCACTTTGTAGCCTAATACTAGAAAGAATATGCTAAATTCTTGGCAATGCATTTATTGTTAGTTATACAAATAAAAATAGTAAACAGATATTTGGCTCATCAAATTGAGGCTAAAATCTAAATATATTGAATAATCATTCAGCAAACTATACCAATTTGTAATTTCAACATGATAATGAGTTCTTGATTGCAAACAATAAAGCACTTATGTGAGTATTGTATTTCAGTTAAAATTAAAAATTGAGTTTTGTATTAAAAATAGTATCTCATGTTTTTTTTTTTTTTATACAAAAGAAAAATATTCAAGAAAAAAACTAAAACCTATGAAAATATTAGAATACTTTGCAAATCATGATTCACCATTTTTAAAATTTTACAGTTTAAATTTTGTAATTTTGATTTAATGAAAAATAAGTAGAGTTTTACTAGGATATGATAAATAATTACAAAAATATAAAAAAAATTATAGATAATTATTTTAAAAATGTTTTTTTTTTTTTTTTTTTTTGTAAAAGGGAGAAGTTGAGATCATCATGAGAAATATTTGACTCATTATATTTTCTTCTGTTGGTGATTTCATTTCCTATTATTTTCTTTGTGGCAAAATTTTTTAGACAAAAAAAATAGAGAAATTTTATATTGCTACCCCAAAATGTTTATTTAAAAATTCTCATTAAGCCCATCCGTTTGTGTTTTTTAATGTTTTACTGCACTAAAATTATATTTTTTGTCAATGGAAACTGTTTAAATGGGGTGGGGTGGTGGGGACAAGGAAAGTGGAAATTCAAACAGGGTTGTTGAAAACAAAAACTGTAAATTCAAGAGACAAATGAGAAAGATTTCTCATTTCAGTATTATAGAATATTGTAGTGTCACCAATGGACAATTTCACTATCAGTAAGAGGAATTGCCATAGTATTGGCGATCTTCATTGAGTCACTGGTCAAATCAGTCGGCCAAATGTGCTGGCCTGATTGGTAGCAAGTGTTAGGGTATGTTGTCCAATCCTCCGCTGCATCGTTCTCCGTCAGCCCAATACCATTGTCATGGCTTAGACCATTGTTGAGTTTGAAACCTCGACAGGCACCTAGTGTTCCCCTGGTATAGAGGTCAAGGAACCAATCTAAAAATGGCAGAGGAGCTCATGTCACTTTGCACCACTTGAGGAAACTAGGTACATCTTTAACAGGAACATTGTAGGTATGTGCTTTAAGGCGGAGGTTACGGTCATCAGTGAGAAGTACGACATCCCGCTCCAGACGGATAGGGCCATCTGCAAGATGAAAAGAAAATCACATTAAAATAATTGAAAAGGAATTTTTTTTTTTTTTTAATTTTCATATTGAACACAAGTATAATCTATAATATATGATAAACTAGCCAAATACCCATCCTAGGGGAAGAGAGAAGTAAGTTGCAATAGAAGTCCTGTTAATGTTTTTATTAATAATAAAAATTAATTCAATAACAGTATTTTAAATTATTATTATAGAATTATTTAAGTGATTCAAAATAATGTTTGTATTAATAATAAAAATTAATTTGGTAAACTTACTATTTTCTCACTTGTTTAAATAATTCGGTACAATTTTACCAAAAACTAATTAAACAAACTATTTTGACTTATTTTGATAATTCCATAAGTTTTTTTGGTCTCTGCTTGACTAATTTGGAGTAATGTAAAATGTTAGAGGGCAACAACAGTTATTACAAATGCCACAGAAAATAAGATCAAATCTAGCATTGTTAGGTCTAAAATTATAGAATTCTATAAAAGTTTTAATATTTTAAAAAAATTATTTACTTTATGTCTACTTAAAAAAAGGTTATTTTTAGAAGCCATGGACATTTGTTTTATATTATATATATATATATATATATATATATATATATATATATATATATATATTTTTGTTTTATCTGTGCTAAGATTTTTCCAACTTATGACTGAATTTTAATAAGGCCTATATAAATTTTTTTTATGAAAACAAGAAATTTTAAAAAATTGCTTATATATGGTAGTTTTATAAATTTGAATTAACACAGATGAAATATTTATCAAGATAGGTTCTTAAAAATTGTTATTCATATTGAATGTTACTTCTTATGTTTAAATATATATATATATATATATATATATATATATATATATATATATATTAGTAGGTACTTCCACTTTTCCACAGAAAAACAGCATAACATGATGAAAAAAGGCAACAAACTTAATAAAAATAAAGTTTTACTGTTAAAATGTTTATTATTAAAAGGAAAGACCAAAGATTTTTTTATTATTTTGGGGAAATTTATTAATCCTTTCTAGCTTATTTGAAATTTTGGTAGAAAATCTTGTTTTGTTTACGTCAACAGTAGATGTAATAATTACAATTACTTTTTTTTCGCACCTTTTTTTCTGATAAAAACACATTGATTTGGAAATTCTTGTAAAAATCAAATAATTGTCAGATTTTAATGAAACTTTCAGGACTTATTCACAAATAAATGAAATTATTTTTGAAATTTTTTGTTTTAGAAAATCTTGGTAAAAAAATATTTTCTTTTTATGTTACCCCACCCATTTACTTAATGAAAATTTTGTGAAATTCCTTTTCATTTCCAGAATTTATTTTATTAGTTAAAAGTAGGACATCTTGGAGAATGTAAATCATCCAATTTTATTTCTTTTGTCAAACTTTTACTATTCTAACTGAAAATCTGCTCAAGATTGTAAACTAAAAATGTAATCAAACTATGACATTATTTAATTAGAAAAGCTTTTAATTGCTTTTTGTAAATAAGTTATATTATGGACACTATTGTCTGAATAAATAAAATTTTTTCGATGAATAATGAATTTTTACAAGAATTTTTTCATTTTTTAATATTTTGATTATAATTTAATAGTTTAAAAATCATTTAAAATTCTGTATTACTTTATGTCCTGTAAGTGATATAGTAATTAAGTGGAAACAAAATTTACAAATCCAAAATTGAAAAGATTAATAAACATTGTTTTACTATTCTTTTTTTAAAATAACTTTTTATTTTTTTTTACTTTAACTGTTCTCTTTTTTTCATCTATGGTAGCCTAAAACATGAAATTATTATGAAATGGTCACATGCTTGGATTGTAGAAAATTGAAAAAGTATTTTTTTTAGCTAATGTTAATTAAAGTTTATTAACTATTAATGATTAAACAATATTTTAATTATAAAAAAATTTCCAGATCAATTTAATTTTTTTGCTTACTTATCTTTATTTTAATTTCATCTGTTATTAATTAATTTAAGAAAATTTTATAGTACTTTAAATGTAACTAAAGGTCAATAAAATATTAGATAATTGCTGAAAATGTTAATTTGTAAAAATTACAAGGTAGTTAAAAATGATAAAATGTGTAACTTAGATTTCGCAAATTTATGTCAATTCTGGCCATCCATACTAGCTGTCATGACCTCAGAACTAATCGATATGTCAATAAAGATGAAAGAAAAACAGGACCCATAGTTAAGATATGCTTGTATATTACTTTTTTATGCTATAAATGTTTATTTCAAATCAGATTAATTTTAACTTTAAATTTGCTAATTTTACTCAAGTAATGTGTCACAAATATATATTTTAATTTTGGAAGATTTTTAAAACCAATAATTTTGTTTTGTTTACAAATTTCTTAAAATTAAAAAAAATGACCACTTTTAAGAAAATTTTCTGAAATCAGTCAAAAAATTGAGATTCCAATCAATATCATTTCTATTTGAAATACAACAGAATATTTTACTTACTGGAAATAGTAAATTTAATCATTTAGCTTTCAATTAAAGCTAAAATGAAATCTTCAAGAATGGCTTTTTCATTTTAAAAAATTCATTTTAAACCTTAGGAATTGAAAATTTATACCAAATTAGTGGAGATACCTAATATATAGTGAGGTAAATAATCCATTGGTATATAATCCAAGTGGATCCTGGTAATATGAAAATATTAGAACTGATCCACAAAAAAGAGCTTAATGTATTTTATTTATAAAGAGCAATATAATTAATTTCAATATCAATTCCTCATAGTTAACTGTTCCATCCTGCTTCTTCTAACCTTACAGACATTAACTTCATTCCACACCAGAGTCGAAAAGACGGACAAGCACTTTCGTCATCTGCCAAAATAGCCTATTCCCCATATGAGGTAAAAGGATTTGTTTGATCATTAATTATATACATCATTGGCAACTTTAGCGTCAGGTTTAGCTCTGAGTGAGTCAACATTCAAGTATATCTATTCCAAAGCAACAAAAACCCAGGGTCCATGCCTCAAAAACTGACTGAAAGATATTGTTGATTTTTTTTAGAAAGAAAAACCATTGTAAAATTTTGGCTGATATGTTAGATTGGATATTTAATTCCATATTTCCTTTAATTTTTAAATTCTTTTAAAAATTAACTTTTGCCCTGTTTTTTAATTTTTTATTTAATACTTACTGTTTTTAAATGCCCATTTTAAAAAATTCTTATAGATTTTTTAGAATGTATTAATAAAATATTTAAAATGGGAACATTCAGCCAAAATACAAAAAAAAAAAAAAACAACAGAAAGGGTGATAATACTATTCTGAATACTTTACTGAATAAGGGTATTTCCCACTTTAGCACATCCCTCTGTTGGATATTACTTATTTAAAAGCTTGTATAGATAACAGGAACAATTAAGAATATTTATAATATTTACTGAAATGAATCATTGTCGACAATTACAGGTATTTTCTCTTTATTTGTATTTAAAGTAGATGCTTATTGTAAAATTTCTCATTTAATATTACACAGTATAGAATTGAGCAATATATCAAAAAGAGGCATACTAGGAAAGGTGTGCATATATTATGTGTGAATGCTTTTTTTATGGAATATTGTCCAAGTTGAAGACACTGTTTAAGGCTAGCCAAAACATCTTAAAATTTATTACACACACATATTATATTATATATTATATATGCAGAGTACTTATTGGGAAGTGCTCAATATTAGTGATAGAGCTAACATATTCAGTTGTATGGATGAGTTTATGACCCTGGGTTTCATGCTTTTGTGATCATCAGAAAAGTTTGTCTGATGATTGCAAAAGTGTGAAACCCAGGGTCACAAACTCATATCCATACAACTGTGTATATATATATATATATATATATATATATATATATATATATAAATATGTGTGTGTGTGTGTGTGTGTGTGTGCAAACGACATACAGAAATTAACAAAGAAAGTGCTACCTTTAAAACTGGATTTGTGTAATGGGTGTAGAAGCAGTACAATTAGAAGGAAAAAAAATTTAGTTGATTTTATTAATGTGTTTTTCTCAATAAAATCAACAGATTTTTTTATTAACTCAAGAGACATTTAAGCATAATTATAATGATTTTATTAATGAAGCCTAATGCAATACAAACCTTTGACCTTTGGCACGTGATCTTTACAGTAGTGCAAACAACAGGCCAAAATAAGATCATCATTATTGCCCTGTAATAGAAAGTAGAACATTTTGAAGAACTTAAAAAATTTATAATTTATATTCTGTGGAAATCAACATATAAGTTTAGTTGATTAATCAAGATTGAATGAAAAACATGTTATGATGCAAAAGATATGTCAGTATAAAAAGATACTTAATTCTTAATATACAAATTAAAGGATTTAAACATATCTGAATAAAACTTTCCTAAATTCACAAGTGACTGTATTGCTATAAAAAAAAAAAAATTTTGCTCTTTATAAATTCCTGTCTTTTGGTGCAATGAGAAATAACTGCACCTCTTTGTCTTTTACAGTACGCATTCTGTCATCCATTTACCTATTTGTTAAATAGGTTACATATTTTTCTTTTACTTCTCTTTCCTTCTATGTACCTGCGAATGCTAAATTTTTCAAGCATCATATCTTCATTATGTGTACCCAAAATGTCAGTTGTTGCTTTCTGATTGTTAGTGGCAATTTCTTTGTAGTTCCTAATCCTTAAGACCCTATATGATATTCCCAACATTCATGAAGAGACCCACCTCTGTTGCTTCAAATCTTTTCATCTGTGACAAAATTATCCAACATTTACTATCATATAGTACAATAGATATTTCATAGCACTCTAGCAGTCTAGTCTCTTATTTGTATTTAAGGAGAATCTTTGATCCCTAAATAGTATGGTCAGTATCTGGAAAGTATCTTTCATTATTCCTATATGTTTTCAGATTTCAGTCACATTTTCCCCATTTTCTGTTACTACACTAAAATTAACTAAGTCTTACAGTTCTTTCAGTTTCCCTTTCGAATTTGCCATCAACAATATCATGTGCATAGTGTAGACTGTATCCACTGATAAATCCTGGTAGATTTTCTAGTCTTTTTAGAAACATCTCATAGTATAGGTTAAATAAACTTCTATTGCTTACTGATAGTATTCTGATAGTGAAAATTTTTCTTGTTTCAACGTCTTAAAAAAAACATCATTCTTGTATTATTAAAAAAGAAATGTAAATCTAATTTTGCTACAAGATCTATTCATTAAAATCCTAATTATCAGTTTTGTGATACATCAGGCTACTTCATCAATGAAGCTTGCATTCATTTGTACCTGATTTCTTTGGATGTACTATGAAGATTGATCTGCTGAGGTCTTCTGGTATTTTACACCTATCATATTTCAATATTTCTTTGGTAACCTCATCAATTCCAAAATTGTCTAAGGCTGTCAGCTTAATTTTAGAGACAGTATACTTATTTGTTATTTAATCTCTCCAGTAAGACTGTAAAATCATAAAAAGGTAAAAAAAAATTTTAAAGTTTATTGTGAAGAGATGTTAGAAAAATCTATATCTCAAACAATATAAACTGACAGTAACTATGACTCACAAAGCAAATAAATGACATTAATCAGCTTGTTTAACCACAAATTTATATAGATATCCACAGTGGTGGACTAGCCAGGAGGTCAGCTTGACTGATGACAAGTTGGCTCCATATATCAAATAAAAAAGCAATAAAGAAACAAACACAGACAACTGTTTTCATAATAAAAAGGAATAAGAACTTTATAAAGTCATCTACACATTATCAGTTACTTAAGTCCAATGTGAGTAGCCATTTTCAAAGCTAAAGATCATAAAGACAACGTTAAGAAATTTGCTGTTTTAGGAGAATTTGAAATCGTACATGTTGCTATCCACTGAAAAGGAATTGTTAGATGAATTGGATGCAGAAGCAATTATTGGAGTTGAACAATCATCTAGAGAACACAAACAATTATTCTTAATATAGTAGACTGCATGCAATGCTCTATTGTGCTTTTGAAATATTAATATGTAAATTGTACAGTAAACTATTTAAATATATCAACTAATTAAAATTTAAAAAAAAATAAAAGCTTCAATTATAACATTTTGTATGTATATTTAGTAACTACTGCCAATAATATATACAGTGCATGTACACTAATTACTAAGAAATACACATTTTTTTCCTCTAAAATTTTAAATTTTATATTTTCTTCTATATGTATTTTTTGAAATTTTATTTATTCATTATGAAAATTAAATGATAGCATTGTAGTTTTGGGTTGGCCCCCTTTATCTCCTGGAAACAAATATTTTTAGACCCAGTCCACCACTGGATATACATAATATTAAATATAAACATTTTATAACCATACTTTATATAACATGTGAGCAGTACTGATTTAATCAAATACTAATTTCATACTTGAACAGACATGAATATTTGGAAATTTTAAGTGCAAAAGTAAGGAAAAATAAAATAAAAAACTTACCTTTGTATCTGTAGTCTCACTTCTGTAGACAATAGTGTCCAGCATATTACCTTTTGTGGTCTGGGCACGTAATCGAGGGTTCTTTTGGTCAAATTGTTCTTCAAGGAAAGCCATAGCCTGCTTAGCATTCTCCTTGACCATATCACTGTGTTCAACAGAATCATAATGACCTTCCAAGTTACCACGTGCCAGACCATCCAACTCATTTATCACTGAGATTAAAAGAGAAATAAATATTGCAGTGATTGTACAAGAGTTATGGACATGAAATGAAAAAAAAAGGAAGAGAGACATTTGGTTTAATGTTAAACAAAATATTGTGTATACAATCAAACCTCTTTAATCTGGCACTCTTAGGACCAGGCCACTGCTGGACCACAAAAAATGTCTGATGACAGAAAACGACCCTAAGAAAAAAAAAAAAAAAAAAACATCTTATGTAAACAGTATTGCCAACTCATTCCAAATATATATTGCTGTGTTAAAGTCTAAAACAGGAAATAAAACCATTAATGCTTTCAAACAAGGTTTTTGTTTTTGTGCAATACCAAAGTAAAAAAAGAAAAAGCACCTCCTGCTCTATTAGGTGGCATCCTGACTAGGTAAATATACAATTATATAAGAAATGAGCAATACCATAATCACCAAAACACTGTGCTGATGTTGGCTGCTGTATAAACAATATGTGGTGTTGTCCTTGTAGCTGCTCTATGAACTAATGGCAAGTGATTAAAAAAAAAATGCTGGAACATGGAGGTTACCAGACCATAGAGTGCCAAATTAAAGATGTCCAACTGTATTAAATTTGTTTTCTATTAAAAATAATGTAAAAGAAAACTGAATAGATAAAAAAAAAATTAACAAAGATCTTGCATAGTTATGAAGTTACAAAATATTGCTGTAATCAATTTCTCATATCATCATTGGTTGCAATATATTTTTATATTTAAAATTTTTTTTACCTCCCCCTCTCACTACATGCAGAAAAAATATGTAAAAATTAACTAATTTGTAAATTGTTGGATAATTTTCACTCATTTACTGTATTCAGCAGATACTGCATCATCATCAAATATCATTTATTCTAGTCTTTACAGTTCTTTTAATGAAAAAAAAAGATTCAATTCACTGGAGGGCTGCAAAAGGCACCTAGAGTAGTTGTTTATTAAGAAAGAGAAAAATTATGAGATGACGGAATTTATAAAGTTGTTTAACGGAGAGCAAAACAAATTAAAATATTGTAATATCAAAAGTAGAAAAAAAAAAAAAAGGTTTTATTTTGAACTTTTTGGGATACCCAATAAGTAAATCTTGATACAACCTCCCCCACCAAAAAAAAACCCTGCAATACAGCTTTCTGATATTCAGAGGTGAGTGAAGTAGCATAATAGAAGAGTCAAAAGAAATGATTTTTATATTTACCAATCAAAGGGACAGATATAGTGTATTTTGTAGTGAAGACAAGCTTCTGGATTCCAGACAAGTGGTCAATAAAGCAGTTTGTGTCTGGTAAGAGGTACATTGGTCGGATTTCCACTTCTACAGAACAAGTCCGATGTTCTTGTAAGATGGCCTGTTACAAAGAAAATAACAACTGCAATAAATGCATGCAATTTGAAAGAGGATACAACATTTTGGGATTCCTTTTAGCTAAATATCACCAGGTGATTGATATGATGGTTCATCTGTTAAAAATGTTGCATCTTCAACCAATTATTTTGTTAATATGGTTAGCTCAGGTTTTCAAAGCAGGTAGATAGACATTTAACACATGTTTAGTACACCTGTTTTCTGTTATAAATAAAAGTTAAGAAAGTAAAGTAAAATTTACTAAAACCTTTAGTTAGTTTACTTTAATAGTGTTACACATTAAATATTGAATGTCCATCTCTAAATTGGAGGTAATGTGTTCAAAGAAGAATAACTGTAATTGACAATAATCAGTTAGCGATTTCCCAGAGCTTGCACTTAAAACTTACAATATATATCACCTAAAAAGTTAAAAATGATCTATGAGCAAGAATATATTAAGAATTTGCAATAATGAGTAACAATTAGAAACTGCTTCTTGGCAAGGGTCAAATATTTTTCTAGAAAAGAGAAAAATTGCTTTGAGTCCTCTTCACAATGAATAGTTTATTTACCTATAAACACTGACACTCTGAAGTGAATGAAATCAGTAATCTTAAATTGTTCATGATCTGAAGTTACCTCATGTCTCATACTATTTAATATAAAGACAAAATCAGAATTAGGAAATAATTAAGCATAAGGAAAACAACTGCCATTTAGATGTCTTTGATGAATCTTCTATCTTTCAAGCACTTTTAGAATAAGAAATATAAAACTTATTAGTACCATAAAAAAATTAGTAACATGCTTGTAAGATATATGCTGTCTAATCCATAGGCTTCAGCTATGTCCAGTAAATGTATTGTATTTTGTTAATACTGCAAATTTAGAATTAAAAATCAAGTTTTTCTGATAGAAATTTTCAAAGTTACTAAACGTACTCATAAGTAAAATATACTTTAAATGTATATTATATCAGGCTGTATGAGATCTTGATTAATATGAAAACAACAAAAGGAAAGCAACATGGATTGTATTAAAATTATGGAACTGTAAATGTGAAATACAAGATGTCAGCTTAATGAATCACCATTAAAAAGATGTTATGGATTTCATAACATCAACAAAAAAAAAAAAAAAGAAAAAAGAAGAAAAAAAAGAAATTGTCTTCTGAATTTATATACAATTGTCTTAGGAACATTAATATTAATATCAAGTGACAATATCTATAAAGTCTGTCTGAAAATGATCCAGCCATTTAATATGAATGAAAAACTAACATAAGTATATTAATGCTGCCTTAATCCTCTTCAAAGTACCCTCCTTGAGACTTCATATATTTAACCTAGTATCTTTTCAAACCAGTTGACAAAGGATCACAAGCAGTGGTCTTATTGGATCCTCTTTAATTCTGTCCACCATTTGAAATGTACATTTCAATGACAATTTTATATTTAAAAAAAAAAAGAAAGAAAAGAAGCCAAAATATGAATTTGGTCGAGATTTGAGAGTGGGGATTGACAGACCTGTAGAAAATGTGATGAATGGTTAGATACTTTCCAAACAACCTATGGGTTCCACAGATATTTAAATTCACACACTACAAATCACCGATTTACTTTGAATATAGCCTGCAGGTAGTCAACATTTTCAAGTGTTGTGCTTGTTGAAAAATCCTTCCAAAATATGGATCTTTTTCAACAGATTTTGGACAAATCTCAAATGTTGATACCAAAATTTTAACTGGAGCTTTCTTAAATATCTAAATAATTTATGTAGAATAACTGTCAAAATCTCAAGCAAAACATGATGCATATTCACTGTGAATGCAATGGTCACACAATACACAAGCTCACCCAATGGCACCTCACTACCAACTGTAACACCCGTGAGAAAAGTGATTTTGTGTGTGTGTGTGTGTGAGTGAGAAAGAAGGTCCCCTCTGATTGGTTGCTAATTTACATCAAGGCTACACAAGCATTTCTTGATCTATTCAAAATCATTGGATACTTTTCAGACAGACCACATATCACAACTTACGAAGCTCAAGATATTTCTGTAGTGAAAGTATTTTTTCTTAAATTTCCGATAACACCCATAAAATATCACTTATTTTTGAAAACACATGAATATAGAGTTTAGTAATAAATTTTAAATAAAGTTGAGAGAGAGAACATATGATAAACACCTTTTAAATATCAGATAAAAACCAGCTGAAAAATAAAATTTTGTCTTGTGCTTGTAAAATATTATTTGACGTCTTCTAATATTACTGAAAGTTTAAAATTTCCAAAAGTTACAGTATAATGCTTTGACAGTAACACATGTTACATATTTTTAAATCATTAATATCATTGTATATAGATAATAAACTTCATGTCTTAAACTTCTTTACATCAGAGATACAATATTATTGAAAATGATTAATGAAACATATTAAATTTAAAAGTAAATAAAGTAGCTGCCCCTTGCTAGAAAATTTTACAATTCTTTATATATTTAATGCAATTGCAATTCTGAAGGATAGTTTTCTTCAAGACTAACTTTAAGAATATCAAGAAATATATATATATAGAGAGAGAGAGAGAGAGAGAGAGAGAGCCAGTGCAAAGGTCTTGTGGACTCCAACTGAATTTATGATACGCAGTCCCCCACTCACTCTACCTCGTCTCAATTTTATTCATATGTACAATAATGAATCACATGCAATATAGGTGAAAAAGTCAACTAGAAAACTTGAAAATAAATACAGTATCTAAATACAAATTAGAGACATGTCATAAATAAACATTTTGCAACAATTTTTAACATCAACTTATTTTTTTTTCTTGTTAAAAAGGTGAATTTTAACACATTCAATATTATGGATAAAAAATAGTAAATTTTATATAGCGTTTTTCTTTTTTTAGACTTAGCATGACCAAACAAATTCATGAAGGGGGGGTGGGAGAAAAAAAAAAAAGACCCCAGAATGATGTAAAAATCTGCAAACATTTTTCATCTGTCAGTTGTGTTTAGTTTAGTTTGTAACATATATAAATGTAAGTAGAAAAAAAGCAAATGTTAAGATAGCAAGGGTCACAAAGCACTGGTTGGGGCTCCCAATCAGGTTTGCCAAATATCCCAACCTAACCAGTTAGGGTAGTACACTCCAGCTATATATATATATATATATATAAAACAAATAGCTTCACAAGAATATAAAATTGGTTTGAAAAGAAAAGTAATTTAATGAATAATGTTCTCAAACAACAAAGAAACTTTCCTGTGATTAATGCTAGATAAATCAATATCTTCAAATGCTGGAAAAATAAATAATAATTGAAATCCCTATTCATTCTGAAAAATCTGACAAATGAGAATTATTTAAAAGAAATTGTGAATGGGATTGCAACTATTTGTACACTTAAATCTGTCTGCATTAACTACACAATTGTCTTTATTTCACAAACCTAATTTTAAAAGTGGCAGATATTAATATATTTATGAAATTAGAAAAGATCACCAAAAGATAAATAAATAACCCAACATGAAATAAAGGTTTTACGATTTTAAGTTTTGTGCTAAAATTTTGTGCAAGCAATTAGAGATTAAAAAAAAAATATTGGCAGAATAAGGAATAGCAATCACAAATCATAAAAAGAGCAAAAGTATTTCACAGCAATCAAAAAATTAAAACAATAAAAACACACAAGCAAGCACGTGTATATACATAAAAAAAAAAAAGAAAAAAAGGGAAAGATCCTTTTTCTTTTTTAATCTAGAAAAATGATGGTAATTGGTATGAAGATGATAAAAGTGGAAAACCGAAAACAAACTGTTACTGACTTGGATATTCTGCCTACGGTTGGTCTGCTGTTCTACTTCCTTCTGCAGTTGTTCCCTCTTGGCCCTCAACATCTTAAGAAATGACGAGTGAGCAGATATGAACAGTTGTGCAAAATAAGGAGCATGCAAAGAAAAGTGAAGCAGGCAGAAAGAATGAAATTAAAGTTGAGGAAGATAGAAAGAAAATGGCTCACGCTATAAAATTGAAATCCCCCAAAAAAAAACACCTATTTCCTATAAGGATAAGAATTCAAATGTCTACTTTGGAAGATCTAGTTAATCACTCAACAATTTCAAAATTTTTTTACAGAAATTTAACTTCTTTTTTAGATGCAGAGTGATAATGTATATTAATCTAGCTGTCCATTTTTTTTAAAAAGGGATTTGACATCACTCATATGAAAAGTTATTTCTATCAATAGCAGAGTAAAGTGAAAAAAAAAATCAGTAACTTGATTAAAACTAATTTAAAAATTCGTTTACAGTATAATGATATACTGATATCTTCTATTTATATAACATATATGTATATCTTATATTTATAATATATTTAATTATAATACCAAAGTCCTAAGTAATAAAATTTACAGTTCAATTGCTTAAACATACAAAATCCTAGCAAGAATTGTTTTTAGTCAACAGCTTATGCAACCATTAGTATCAACTTTTACTTTGCCATTCAGAGACTGCTTATTGTTTCAATCACTAAAGAAAATTTAATCAATATCAAAAGATATTAACTAATAATTTGTAGTTACTAAAGAGAAAGGAAAAGTATTTGTAGTATGTCATGTAAATTATGATGTAAGAATAGTTGCAAGCCAAAATGCAGTTTATGGGTGAGTGAAGTAACAAAAGAAAAATGGAAAGATTGTTTGAACTTATTTTAAATCTTACTAATGTAAAAGCTTTTACAATATAAAAAAAATCACTTTTACAGATACTTTTATTCATATTTTGGTAGAAGATTTGTCACTATCTTTTGTTGAGACTAACATTTTTGTGTTGCTTTTTAAAAAAAAATGATTCACTGAGCTGATTTTTGTTTGATGGTATATCAACACTTAGTCATTGGATTGACTTTCTGATTATTTTTAAAATACTGTAAAGCAAAATATACCAAAACCCTTACAGTTTATTTTTACAATTATGAAATGGAAATGGATTTCAAGGTAAATCAACTCTTATATAAATCATGTAAATTTGTAAATGCTACAGCACTAAAAACAAAAAAATACATGCTAAATTTAGTTCTATGATTAAAGCTCAACAAAACCTAATCAAATGGATTTTTTCTTTTTTTAAAAAAAAAAAAACAACTTTTTTAAAAATTTAAGTTTAAAAATGTCTATAATCATCTATGTTTTTAGGGTACAATATTATAGATGGAAAACAAGTTCAAGTCAAGCAATAATACTGGCTAAAATTAAAAAAACTTTTAAAAATAAAGAACAGTTTGAAAAACAGATTCTTTATGTGAATATTTGTCTATTCTAGAATTTCTGTATATATTTCTCAAAATCTTAACTATTAAAAATTCTGTTTAATAGTTTATTTATTCAATAAGTTAATTATAAAGAAATGCTTGACAATTGTCATTTTTTGATTGTGATAAACAATTTAATCTTTTCTGCATTGGTTTTGGCAATTATTTTTGAGAATGTTTTATGCCCAGTAATAATGAAAATGTATTAGCAAAAAGTACAAAACAGTTTTAATAAAATAAGTAAGAAAATAACTTGAGACACTTTAATAAAGGTAATTTATTTAAAAATTTATAGTACATTTTAAAACAAGTGAGACTTTAAAAATGCTTTTTTATACTTCAAATTTCAAATATAGTTTTTACAATGTTTTTACAGTATTGTTATATATTTTTATCTGGAAAATCTTCACATATTCAGAAAATGACAACCAAAGTAGAGACAATTTCTATTATACAAGTAAAAGGCTTCTTTCATGTACAAGAGAATAGTAGTTTACTGAAGACAAAACAAAAATACATCACAGAATGTTTAAAACAATTTTCTCTAGTTATTGAAATTTATGTGTGGCTTTGGTATTTTTCTATAACCTTAAAAAAATGTTAAAAAGGCTGGAAATAATTTGTATAATTTAAATGAATTAAAATTTCCTTAAAGGAAGAAAAGTTTTTTTTTTATTAAACACAGGAGAAGAAGAGGAAATGCAGATCTTATTTCATGTTTGCCATTAAGATTTAAATGTGTGCTGATGAGTGCAGAGAGCAAGAGAAGTAAACTATAAAATACATGAAGGGAAAAAACACACAACAAACAAAACAGCAATTAAAAGTGAGAAACATGCAAATAAAACAAAAGGAAAAACAAGACAAGATTACTAACAAAGGCATAAAACAGTTACAATACAGAAAAGAATTTGAAAATGGGAAATACTAACTTGAATGTTCTGTTGGTGTAATGTTTTTGCTTCTACTTTTTTCTTTAGTTCTTCTTTTTTGGCCCTCAACATCTTCAGATTATCTTCTTCCCCTCCAACCAATTCATCATCTTCTTCTGTTTCAATAATCTCTTCCTGGAAATGCAAAATATTTATATATAATTCTACCATGCTTAATAAGCAATGTCTCAGCTAAAAACAACTTTGATGATCAATGTTAATTTTTGTTGAATATTTTTTTTTCATGACCCTCTTTAAAATAGATGAACTAGAAAATTAGATCAAACTACAAGAGTGGTAAAATGAAATATTCTTTTATGTGCCATGTTCCTTCAAGACACAGGCAGTCATGGCACTTCACATCTTCCTGTCCCTTGTAGCTCTTGATAAGTCCCCCCCCCCAAACCCCATTCTACCATCCATTTACTAAAGCTCATCAAGGATGTTACATGTTGTTTCCCTCTGTTCCTCTTTCCCTCAATCTGTTTCATGATTATCAAGTTTTCCAAGCCCTCCTTCCTCATTATGTGCCCCAGAAATTTCAACTTCTTCCTACTATCCATAAAACAGCTTTTGCAGCCAAATTATTTGATTTTGGAAAAGAAGTCTTTTACTGAATGTATGAAAAGTTGTGTTGTCATTTTTTAATGACAACAATACATTTTAAAATTTTGTCAACTAACTTTTATCAAAGAAATTTATGAATGTCAGAAATATAGAAGGTTTTAATGAATTCAGTTTAACAGATGGGGATTTTTATAATGTTACAATCTTTTGCATACAACTATGCTTTGTTCATGTGAAGCAAGGATATTTTTGCTCTATTCTGAAAAGCAAGAACTAGTACATTTGCTAATATATTAAGTTGGACAAAATGTTTGTCATTAGATGGCATCAAGAGCATTTAGTCTTATAATTAACAAAAAAGCTTTATGAAAGCTGTCATAGCATTCATTAAAAAAATGTCAAAATTGGTGGTATACTAATGTTAATATTGAAGATGGAAGAAAAATATTTCTGAGATGTTTTTTGTTTTGCCTTTGAGTTCTCATCTTCTGTGTTGTATCTCATCAGGACATTGGTGATGATGGTTCTCCACAAATTTCCTGTCCTTTGTAGCTTTTAAGAGAATACAATGTGGGAGGTTGCCAACACTCAAAGTATCTAAATAAAACACTGAAACCATTTGCAACAACTTGTTTATGTTAGCTATTTGGATGTGCAGCATTTCCACATAATCAAAAAACCCTACTGGACCATATTTTCAAATGGAAAAATGCACCTCAAACATAAAAAGATTTGTGTAGTTCTAAGAAGTTAGTTATATACGGCTGATGATTGCACATATCAAAACCTATTTACATAGGATTGTGTTGAGTTCTCATCTTCTCTGTGCTATATCCCATCAGGACATTGGTGATGATGGTTTTTCACAAATTTCCTGTTCTTTGTAGCTCTTAGTAAATTTTGTCCTTTTGTTACCTCTTCTAAACCTTGTTCTGCCATCCATTTAAACAAACTTGTTAGGTAGGTTATACACCGTTTACCTCTTTTTCTATGTCCCATGAATGTCAAATTTTACAAGCCCTCCTTTCTTTGCATATTGGGCCGTTCCTTTTGCTGACAACTATACATTCTATCTTCTTACAATTGATGTTTAGTCTTTTCTTCTCATTTTCCTTCACTACCTTCTGTAGGAGTTCTTGTAGTTTCCTTTCCATTTCTACTATAAATACCATGTCTTCTACAGATCTTATTCTAAGAGTGTGTTCACTAATAATGAACCCTGGTAGGACTTCTACTTCTCTCAGAATCATCTCACTCTATAGGTTGAAGAAGTCTGCTGAGAAGACACATCCTTGTTTTACACCTCTTTTCTATTTTTGTATATTTACTGAATTCATTTTCTATTAATAAAAATTCAATTACATGGAAGACTGCAAAAAGTTGTTTGCCAAGAAAAATTTTCCAAATATCTTAGCACTTTTTTAAACTAATTTAAACTATCTCTACCAATTAATTCTCTGTTCCAGGCTATCTTCTTCAGTGTGTCTCCTTAATAATGATTTTTCTCAGGTTCTTTTGTTCTCAATAACCTGTGTCTTAGTGGCTTTTTTGCATTGCTTGGAGTGAAATGATTTAAAAAAAAAAAAAAAAGAATCTAGGAGGATATATTTGATAAAGAGGCAATGTGATTGCAGTTTATAAATGGTGAACAAGTAAAGAATCTTCTACAGAAAATTAACCTATTTTTTACCTCTGATGTGACATCATCCAGTGTGTTAATTTCAGCTTCAATTTCATTACATTTTTGACTTGGTGCCACAGAATAATACTGTTTGGTCTCCACATTGAATGACAACATCGGTGGTTCAATTCCACACAAGTAATCTCCAAACATTTGTAGGGTTTGAATGCGTAAACAATCACGGGCTATGTCCTGAATAATAAAGAAAAATTGCGTATTTCCCAAAGTTTAAAAACAACCATTTCAACAAAATAAAAATATAAAATGACTACAATATACTATTTGTGTGGAACATACTTGCTACCAACATTAAAAGGGAAAAAAATGAAGGTTTTTCATAGGTTGATTAACAGATTGTTATATATTTAAATTATTCCAAAACTGCAAGAAACTGGTTACATTACCCAGACACAGAAATAGGATGTGTTACAATTTTATGCGATTTTACAATACACACAGGCAAAACAATCAAGACTAATCGCCCAGATTAAAGAGCACAAAAACAGAATGTGCTTTTTTTTATTGACATGGCAGTCCCTGCAGATTGTAATGTATCTTCGAATATCTTTTTGAAAAAACTATCAAAATTCAAGGATCTTGAAGTGGAAATCTCAAAAATGTTACACATGAGGTCATCAATAATTCTAGTTGTAATTGGAGCCTGCAGATTGATTGGAAAAGGTTCCAATAAACACAATGAAGGAATGCCTGGTAGCCCATGCCTTAAAGAAATATTAAAAACTGTACTCACAAAAATTGTAAAATTGTTGAATTATCAGAGCACAATGTTCAAAATAGTGAAAAAAAAAAGGTGAATAGAGAACAACCAAAAAAGAAAGTGAAAACATTGGCATGTGAAGAAAAAACTGGCTCTTAGAAAGTCCTAAAAGATATGAGAAAAATGAAATAAACAGGCAAGAAAATATACGGAGAAGCTAAACTGAGATACAAGATGATCTAAACCAAGAGAGAGATGAAGAAAATTGGCTAAAACATGAAAGCAACCAAAGTATCACCTTTAATTAAACATCACAAAGAGGAATGTATAAATCAGGGTTGGCAATGTGCATGAAAACTGATTTCCCAACAGCAGTGATCATCAAGTGGTGGATGAATGGCTTCAAGGCACAGAGACTAGTTTAAAGATTGAATGGATGAAAATTTTAATGGTGATTTTATTGTGCTACTAACAACTATAAATGATAAAGTTAAAAAAAAAAAGAAAAGAAAAAGATATTTTTATTTTGGAATAGGTTAAATTTTTTTTTCAAGATGATTGAAGTTGTTTTTCAGAATGGTTCTGAGATGAATGTGAGGAAAAAAAAGGTTAACCTGAAGCCTTGATAGAGGGATTGGTTGTTTTAGAAAATATAATTTTCAGGAATGTGAACTATAAAATCAAGGAAACAGTAAACAGAAGATAGAGAACACTGAGTCTTGCACAGAAGCTGAAAAAGTTGATATTTATACTTTTAAAAGCATCATCTATTTGACATGCTTGAGGATATATATATATATATATATATATATATATAACGGAACTAATATGCAATCAATTAAATGTTCATGTACAGCACTGTTTTAATTATTGCATCTTGTGGCATAGGCCAGACATCTGAACCTCAAAATCACCATGTCCTACATGATGAAGGGTAGATGTAGGATAAAATTTTGGATCTATGGAGCAACTTAATTTAGCTCAGGATATTTTAGAACAAAAAACATGCACAGAGAGTGAACATATTTCAACTGGCAGTTTCACACGTTAAGCAATTATCAGAACATTGTTGTATTGTAACAGTTCACTTTTGAGTAAAAGCCACAAAAAAGCAACTCCATAATATGCTGTTATAGTTTGTAACTTTATTACAGATCTTTAGTTCAAGTAAAGTTTTGGCAGTTTGAAATCATCATACTTATTATAAAACCCAGGTTGTGTGTGTGTGTGTGTGTGTGTGTGTGTGTGTGTGTGTGTGTACATTTATATATTGGATCGGATTTCCTACATTTTTCAACCGATTTCAACAAAACTTTACAGGATTATGTAAAATTACCTTGCGGTGGTTCTGACAGCACAAAAAATTGGAAAAAAAAAAAAACAATTGTTTTTGCACAAAATCAATTTGAAAACATGATAAAACACGATTCTGTCGCCAGAATGAAAGGGGGACAACTCATATCGAGTTATACTTATTATAAAACCCAGGTTGTTTGTGTGTATGTGTGTGTTCGTTTATATATGGGATTGGATTTCCTACATTTTTCAACAAAACTTCACTTTTTTTTTTGGCAGGTAGTGTTTCTTATTGTCTTGCACACTTTTTTTTCTTTATTTTTACATTCAGAATGCTTTAAAAATTCCATTTACAAGACAATTGTTTATAATAAAATTCTATTCAATTGGTAGACTCATAATGATTGAAAACCATGTTTTTGTTTGAGTTTGAACAATTCGTAAAAAAAAACAAATTACATTATCCTGTTAGAATTCACTTTGTTATGTGATATGTGGGGCCATATAATACTAGTTTTCTATGTACACATTATACATATATATATATATATATATAGATAGAGAGAGAGAGAGAAAGATTAAAAAAAAGTCTGCAACCTAATAATGAAAGCAGTATTTAACAACACTTTTTTCAACAATCTCCTTTGTCAGTACTCAATATTTTTATTGAGTACTTACAAAATATAGAACAAAAAATACAACAGATCAAAAAATATGTGATGAAAAGTTCAGGTTAAAATTCAGCAAATAACTGTTAGGCTATAGACTTATTGATCCACCATCATGGATGTGTCTGCATGTACTCAAACTTATAGATGTGGACAAATACCAAAAAGAAACTGAGGAACATTTTAAAAGCTATTATTTAAAAAATTAAAGTAATTTTTTTTACAATTGAACCTGAGAATCCATTTCCAAATTACAGAATTTGAGAGGATAAAAAAAAGCCATTTTTAAGTAAAACCAAGAAATTTTTCTCTATATTAAAATCCCAAACTAAATAACATTTCTTTTATTGTATCTGAAAGCATTTTCAACTAGTATACTTGTCAAAAACAAACTAGAAAGTGATGATTGAAAATTGTAATGGTATAAAACTTAGAACTTGGTATATTGATTTGTTTATGTTAAACAGTATTTGATAAAAATTTCAAGAGCAATTGCTTGCATATGATTGGAGATTAGCTTTTAGGAAATTATGATAATAAATGAAAGTTAAACTTCAATGTTATGACGAGAATGCAACAAAGGTAATAGGGGGATAGGTAATGAGAATAAATAGAGACATGCCAAGCTCCATCTTACCTTGGGGGTGGACTGGTCAATCAGAAGATGAACCTTGTGGATTAAGCAACAAATTGGTAACAAAGTCTACTCACCTTATCAACAGTAGAATGAACATAGTAAGCTACAACTTTGGATTTTGTGCATGCTGTGTGAGAAGAGTGTGCAGCTGAAGGAGGGCTGTCACTCACCTTGTCCACTGTACAATGAACATAGGTGGTATTGAATGGGGCACTCAAAAGGGGCACAAATCCACACAGCATTGTGTCTTCACTTAGGATCACTGGTTCACAACCTATACACAAAAATAAAATGTTTTTTTTTAATTGCATTAATAGTCACCAAATAAATGCTAAATCTTTCATCATTCATTTCTTATGAAGAGATATTGAAAAATTTAATCTAAGATAAATTTACTGCAATTTGGTTTGCAGAATATAATCATATGATATGTAATGAATGAATTAGGAGAAACGCAAGGATCATTTGGGTGTTTGTATCCTGTCAGCATGCCCACATTTTTTAAAATCATCTGGAAAAAAAAGCTTAACCAGCAGTGTTGTAAGACTAATCCAAGATATAAAGAAACCTCAAAATAAACAAAAGAAAAAAAAACAACAAAAAAACAAAAAACAAAACAAAAAAACAAAAAACAAAACAAAAAAAAAACAGGCATTTCTGTGGCTGAGGATGAAAATCAAAGTGTAGTATCTGTTTAAGCAGCAGCTGACAGCCAACTCCACAATACCAGGCATCAGTAGCAATTCCAGCTTGTCATCATCCACCACTCCAGCTCCCAACACTCTGGCTATCCTTGCCAGCAGCAACAATATGCATTAAATTGTCCTTTTCAGTACATCGCTCTCCAGCAGCTACTAAAACTGTCCTTCTCAGGTCAATGCTCTTCTCACCCACTACATGAGCTTGAAGAGTTATTTTTTCCCTAATGCACTGTAACATTTTTGTTCATGTATTTTTTTTAACAAAAATATACTTGGCAATATATTTTTTTTACTTAAGTCTTCATTTTGTTTGTTGGTGTCTCCTGTCATTCAATATGTTTGCGGGCCAATATACCACCTGCAATATGGGCACAGTTCATCTTATATGTGGATAATGCTTTTATTGTTTCACCCTACACTGATGACATATCCAAAAAAGAGTGGCAGCATTAATATTGATATTCACACAGTGGCTTGATTCTAGCAGTAATAAAATTATCTTCAGCTGCATAAAAAGTTTAAGAAACCTATTGTAGAAGATACATTGTGATTGTAAGCATTCATGATTTTATAGAATACATAATAGCAGTTGTGTCAGTTATCAAAAACTGCAATAGTTCTGAGAGAAAAAAAAAAGGCTCACATCTTGAAATATAATTTTCCTGCCAGTGTAGTAAAAAGATTAATATCTAACTATAAAATGAATAAACCAATATATGATATTGGAAAGAAAAAAAATATAACAAAGCTTTTAGGATTCAAGAAAACAACTTATTTAAAATAACTGAACATGTCACTTAAAGCATTATAACAAGTAAGCTTAAAAACATTTAATAAAATTCAGTTAACTGCTCACTATTCTCAAAAAGGAATTCCAGGTATGCTTCCATCAATAGAAATGACACTGCATAAAGTGTATGACTTCAGAAGAGGACTACTTTGAAGAAGATTAAATACTGAATTGATATGTGTTACAGTTTTCTTTTTATAGCACCAGTTCTGGTACTTCTTGATCAGACCTCATACACTGTTTAGAACCAAGAGTAAACAAGCTGATAATGTACAGAAAAAATAGATTACTTACTTTCACGTTTGTCTTTATATAAACGCACATGGGATATATCCACTTGAATGAGAACATTGCACAATTTGGCTAGTGATTCCCACACATCAGTGTTAGGGCTGGAAAAAAATGTAATACTCAATTCAGTAAATCAATAAATATAAGTTATTGCAGATATATTTAAATCAAGTGATATTAAGCGAGCATGCGTATGTGTGTGTATATATATATATATATATATATATATATTGCAAATCCCATGACACATCAAGGTTGTAGAGGCACCACATGTAGTGCAACTGCATTAGAAGTGGTGTTTGTTGGGCAAGATAGCCTGATGGAGCCCAACCCTCTCCAGGCCGGTTTTGAATTCAAAGTTTTTCCTTCACCTAGACCAGTTGCCACCCAAGGCTATAGAACCCAGCCTGTCCTGCTATATACCCATAGCTGGGGGGAGAAGAGGAGGATTCATACCTCTCATAAGTGAATGTAATGGATCCGACTGGAATTCGAACTTGGCTCTTAGATTCTTCAATCTGAGCCACTATCCATTACTCCACTGTACCTCCTATATATTTTTTTCAAATTATGTAAATCTTAAAAATTCAGAAATATATATATTTCTGAATTTTTAGGATTTACATAATTTAAAAAAATCCTATTTTTATGTGTAGTAAAATGGAGGAAAAACACCTTAATCTGAGAGGACATTTTTTAAAAATTCATATTTTTAATATTTTAAGGAAAATATCACTTTTACAAATATATGAAATTATTTAAAAGTGAAAATCCTATCACTTATAGCAAAAAGTAAAACTCACCCGAGATCTGGATCATTAAGATTAGGAGGTTGCATCCAAAGCTGGGGGTGACAAATCATCCAATCAGCCCAGACCTTAACTGCAGGCATATAATGACTTAGAGTGTAGCTGAGAAGTTCCTGGGGTGAGTTGTTGTATTTCAGATGATTGTGTAACAATTCTGCACATCTCTCAACCAAGATAGCAAACATATCCAATCCAAGCTGAACTGCATGTTCTTGCAGCAAGGACCGGCCATTACCCTCTTCACATGATTCTGAAAAGAAGGAATATATCTATATCAAATTCAAAAAATAGATTTTGTTTGAAGGATAAAATAAAGCTAGAAAGGTAAATAAGTTTAAAGATTTGGGAGAGCTTATCAATAACATGAACAAGCTAAATACATAAACATTTTTCAATATAAAATTTATTGAGTAACTAAAGCTAATCAAAATATAGGTATCCCAAACTAAAATATTATTTTCAATATATCTAATAACAACTTTAATAGAGACATCAATAGCTTAATAAAACATTAAAAAAATCGTTACCAAATTTATCTTGGTAGCTCAATTAGCAACAAAGTTATAACCATTCAAATTTGGTCAGAAAATATTGTTTCATGTACTACTGGACCAGAAGTGAATTTCAATGGTCAATAACTCAAAATACCAGATTCAGACTATGTAAAAATGCTTAATGTAATGTCACATAGGTAGTCTTAAAATAAAGAAATAATACTAATGAAATCAAAAATTATTAGATCAGACTAGCCTAAACATTGGGAAAAATTGCATTCTCAAAAATGAAATAGTTAAGACATGACACAAAATAGCAAATTTGAACGTTCATATAAGTTTAATTTCAATAGGTAATGCCTTGCAACTTCTTGCTATGATTCATAGCACAACAGAGATGAAGCTAGATTTTTTGTTCAGTGGTACATCCATAAAAAAAAACTCAGATTTACACCATATAAAAACAGCCAGAAGTGCAATTTGACAAGAGGTCAAAAACAAGTCAAAAGTATATCATCCTGAACTTGCCATAAAAAAAAAATCCAATGGAGAAACTTTACTAACTTTAGGATGAGGAATTCAACAAAATTTTTTTCTGCAATATGAATACCTTTCATCATAGATGTATCTAATTTTGGAAAATTTTGTGAAATTATGCAATTTTCACCGGGTCAAAAAAGGACTATAATGTTTACAAAACTTAAAAATTTGTTTCATGAAATGAATCATTGGGCAATCCTTCAAACAAAATAAAAAAATCATTTTAACCTCCAAAATAGGACATAATCCTTAGAATTAGTAAACAAATAATCAGAAAAAAAGAAAAAGAAAAAAGGAGGAAGCCGATTACATTTTGAAAATTACCTAATTACATTTTAATTTTTTATGAACCTAAGCATCAAAGTGAAACATATTCAGTTCATTTTTATTTTATTTTTTATAAAATATATTCCGCTCAATTTGTTAAAATAAAATGTAAATAAATTTTCAATTTTATCCCCAAATCCTGAGTGAGTAAATATTACCAACCATATATGTAAATTAAATAATTAACCAAAAGGAAAACTGAACGCTTAAAAAAAAAAAGAAAAAAAAAAAAAAATTTTTTTATGGACAGGACAAATACGAGTTCAAAATTTAACTAAAAACATATCCAGTTTATATATTTATTTTTTATTTTATAATATAAATTTAGTTTAATGTTTGCTTTTAAGAAAATGAATAAAAACAAAAGCCAAGGTAAAAGTTATTCAAACATAACATTTGGGGCAAAATAGAATAAGTACTTTAATAATGCATTTTAAAACTGTATAAAGAAAATACAAGGAAAAAATTTAAACTGCATAATATTGATCAATGAAATAAGTCTGATTGAAAATGGGGTTTCATCTGGCGGTCTTCATTCACTAGGCCAGCAATACAAATTTCAAGGCATTTTGCACAACTGTTTTGCACAAAATGAAGACAATTTTTAATTTGTGTGTGCCTTAAGTTGTATGGGTGTAGAGATGTGAAACCAACTGATTATTAAAGACAAGACATTTCTCTACAAGAAGGTGCAACTTAGAAATTTTTTTGTGAAAGACAACTTCAAACCTTATATTAAGTCTATCAAATTGACAAGCATCTGGTTTCATTTAAGATGAGATTATTTTGATATGCGTAGGGAGACAATTCAAAGTGCAACAAGTTTTAAAAATACCACTATAAAATAGTCAGCTTTGAAAATGTAGAAAAACAAGTGCCCTTTATTGAAATAGAGATGTAGAATAAAAACTAATTACACAAGAAATAATTACCTTTATACAGAGAAAAAGATTAAATTTTGTTTACATACTAATTTTATTGAAATAGCCTAAAAAAATAAATGAGATATAAACAGTTGAAATAGAAGGAAATTTCACTATATTGACATGTTTTCATGGTGTAAACTAGAACAGTTTACCTAATAGGACACTATCAAAATCACTTAAAATAATTTTAGAGACCAATCAAAAATAATATTTTTCTTCTTGTATTATAAATCCAGTATTATATATGAAAAGCATATCAAAGCATTTAATTTTATCTGTAAGTTACTTTGACCAATTAACCGATTTTATTTTCTTCTTTATAAAACTTGGAAAGAGAGGAAAAAAAAAAAGGTAACTTAGTAGCATGAATTTCTGCTACATTGAAAGTGACAGGATTCATTTAAACTGACAATGATGATTTTGTTGAAACAAGAGAAAGATTCATCCTGGTTTGTGTTCCCATATAAAAAAGCAATGCAGAATACCAAAGAGCAAAATTTACATAAAATATCTTACTTTCAAGATTTTCAGTTTGCAAGAAACAGATAATGGGTTTGTAGATAAAAGTAATGAAAGAAACAAACTATGCTTTTGACAGTTAAGAAATCAGATATAAAGTAATATAAAAGAAATATTTCAAAAGGTTGTGGCTTGTGCAAATAGTTAACTTTTTTATATGAGGAATGAATCAAAAATTGATAATTCTTGATATTCTTAATATGCACTTCAGATGGAGTAAATTTTACAAAACATCAATGCAAAACTTATGAGTATAAATCAATAAGTGATGGCTTGAAGACATAGCTGGCTGGTAACATTTGAGCAATAAAGAAAATTACCTTTTAAGGCTGTGTTTCCAATCATGAACATATTGATGGCCATTAATTGCAGTATGCGCATACAAGTGATAGTAGGGTGAGCTTGCTGCAGTAAGGTCTGGAACTCTTGCAACATCTGAGAACACATTTCAAGAAATGTCTCCATTCTGGTTAAAATAGAAATTAAGATAAATATTATATAAGAACAACAAGTTGAAGATACAAAAGAAGAATAAGAACACAACTTACAGTTGTGGATAAGTTCCTGACAGCAATAGCATAACTCTATTATGTTTAAAAAGTTAAACGCTTATAAAAAAGAAATTATATTTATTGTATAGCTAAATTGGAACACTGGCCTGCAAGTTCATCTCAGTGGTAGATCAATGGACTGAAACCAGAGTTTTTATCTCAAATTAAGTTTGAGGAAGGAAATGGTTCAAAGCTGCACATGATATCTTTTTCTTAAAAAGAAAAGCCTACTTTTCACATATGGAGATTTTATATTATTTAATACATTTTAACCAATTCTTTCACAAGTAAATGTTCTCATACAACAAAACATATTTTCAACATTAAATGGAAAAAAATTATTTAAAAAAAAAAAAAATAAAGTATATTTTCTTAGTTCAAAATTGTACATTGTTAGCAATTTTTAATTCAAACTTCAAGACTTCTAATTTTGAAGTAGAAATCTCTTTCTAATTAAATATTTTAATATATATATATATATATATATATATATATTTTCATACACACAGTCAGGATATTCATATTGTGAGCAGGCAGATATGATTTTTACATATAGCCATGAGAATGGTAATAGACAAAGCTGCACGGTTGTATCAGATTGCATTTCCAGACCGATGACAGCCAAGTCATCCAACCTTTGTGCTATTTATTGTAGTGTTGGTGAGACAGGAGCCATGGTACCACAAACTATTGATCAAGGAAGAGCAAAATCTGCTCTGACCATGAAGAACACAATCTACAGGCTGTTGGAGACAATCCAGGTATCAGTACATGTCAAGTGGCCCTAGCATGTCATATATTTTATAGTACCACATGGAGGGTATTTCAAGAGCAGCTCCTGTATCCATATTATTTGCAATGTGTGCAGGGTCTTTCGGCCTATGATCTCTCACCACAGGAGGACCTTTGTTGATGGTTTATTGCACAAACAGCCAATCTATTGTTTGTCTCTTCAGTCTTGTTTACAGATGAGGCAGCATTTTGGAAAAGACAGAATATTTACACAACCAACATTTGTGGGCAGATCGGAATCCTCATAGTACAATACAGGCTAGACACCAGCATCAGTTTACAATTAATGTGAGGGCTAGAATTATAGGTGACTTGGCTGGTAAGTTCATATGTTCTTCCAGCATGTCTTACAGAAGCTGTCTACAGGGACTTTATTTCAAACACATTTCCAGATCTACAGATAATACGAAGATGCATGTGGTTCATGCATGATAGGACTCCAGCACATTTTAATCACATTGTTTGCAATGCACTAGCTGACATCTATCATGAAAATGGATAGATAGAGGAGGACTGGTTCCATGGCTGCATGTTCCCTTAATCTCAATACTTTTGATTTTTCTATGTAGGGTCACCTAAAGTAATTGGTTTATGCAGCAGGCATCAATAATGCAGAGACGCTTCTTCAATGTGTCATGGAGGCCTGCAAAACCATTCAACATTGTGTGGGAGTATTTGAAAGAGTCCCCAGGCAATGATCCAACAGATGCATGCGAAGGTAGACACAAGCAGAGGACATTTTAAACATATGTTATGAGTTGCTGTGTTGAGGTACAATGATGGCCTTTTGGACATATGTTTATATAGACATTTTACCTTGTTTTGGTGTCAGGAACATGCTCCCAAAGTTTGTAAAAGCATTTTTGATACACAGTGTGTGTGTGTGTGCATATATATATATATATATATATATATATATATATATATATATATATATATATACATAAAAACTTTTTTTTTTTTTCAGCTATGTTTAAAATTTTCGTGAAACCAAGTGTCAAGTCAAATATTTTTAAGAAAATTAACATCTATGCTTATTCTAAAAAGGATATAAAATGAACAAGTCAAAAGTAGAAAGGAATTGATAAATTTTAAATTCAATAGTTTTAGATTAGATTTAGAGCTTTCATATCTTACCCAATCTTAGTAAAAAGTTTGCCATGTACATTCAGGAAACTCAGCACAAATCTTCGATTTAACTGGAAAAAAAATGAACATTATATTTTAAGTTGTAATTATAAAACTATATAATAAATCAGACATAAGATTTCTATAAGAGTGTATATTTTATTTTAGACCATCTATTTCTGTAGTTTAGTATTTATAGATAAAAATAATGCAATAATATTTAAAATTTTATTTTAAAAGTATCAAATGTGGCAGCATGATATGCTGTAGGAGCTTGTAAATACTTAAGAGAATAGTAATTTTACTAAAAAATAAAAATCAACCCTTACTCATTTGTTATGAGTAATTTTTTTGTTTGTTTTTGGATATATAATGTATTGAGATTGTAAAGCAACATTACAAGAAAAAAAAAGAAGTATACAAACTTTGTCAAGTGGCAACTTAGACAGATCCTCCTCATAAGAATCTTCAATTTGGTTTTCATGGCTGCTGCCATCAGGAGCTATCCAAATTTCTCGCCTCTGTCCTTGGTATCTCCTGCGTTTTTTCAGCTTCTTTATTCTTTCTTTCTCAGCAACCCTTTTCTTCTCTGCTGCTTCAGCCTAAATAAAATTTAATCTTTCATTGATAAAAATATATTGAAGGATATTTTCATTATTAATCCAAACAAGGACTAAAACCTCTGCAGATAAGAGAAAATGAACAGCGAGTTAAAAAGAGAATTCTAACATGAGTTTTATATGAAGTCATTACTTCTTTTTTGTTAGCTCTTATTCCAAATTTGCAGTGAGGGAGAATATTTTCCTACAAGTCTGGACTCGGCCGTTGGACAAAGACATAAAAATACTCCTACATCAAGAGGAGTAGCAGGAGGAGCAGCAGTAGCTCTTGCTGAAAACAGTCATTCATGGCTAAACATTCTCTTCCCTAGTTTCTACTCTACATTATGTTTCCATGTACCAAAACGTAATAAATTGTTTTTAAACCAATACCAGTTTTCTACTGTTGTTTTGATAACTCAGTTACAACACCATCCATTAAACTAGTTTTTTAATTTCAAGCAGGAATTTAGTTTTTTCAGTTACCTTTTCTATCAATATAGGGCACATTTAAAAAACATATGGAGCAAGTAATATCAATAGAAATAGTACTGTATTCCTACATTACGATCCTACTTTACAAAGCTTACAAAAGCTCAAAAGAACTGAGTGATGGTTATATGGTTCATAAGTTCCTATACTCAATTGTGATATAATAAAATGTTCAATATAAAAACTATGACAGATGTCTAAAATAGTTTAGTTTCTACCAAACCACACTAAAAATACATGCTAGTTTATTGCATAGACAATGCATATAAACATGTCAACAAGTGAACAAAGAGTATCAATTCCTAGCTTTTAAAAATCCTTATACTATATAAGTTTCTGACAATAAACTCTAGATATACTTAAATACAAAATTCTAACAATATATCTATTTGCACCAGGTAAGTCATGATTAGAAAGGATAAATATTATTGGGAATAGATCAGAACTTGAGATAACAAAGTGAAATATCTATTGCAGTTATTGCATCAAATTAATTATCTTAAAATTCTAATCCTAAACAAGATGATCATAAAACCCCCCAAAAATTCCACTTTCAGGAATATTAAATACTAAAATAAATTGATTACTTACTTTCTTGTGTTAATGAGAACAATCTTAAAGATGGAACTGAAAATGCAAAGAAAATTATGATGAGAAACAAACTTACCTTCTTTCTTGCTTCATCAAATAAAGTCATCAGACTTTCCCGTGCAGTTACAAAAGGGTTACTTGCTGCTAGACTCCGCATATAATAATAAACAGAATCCAACTTACGTTTCTGGAATGAAACAAAAATAAAATTATTGTTAGTTGAAGTCTCTTCATCATTTCATATTTTTGGCTGTATTTTCATTATATTTTGGCTGATGTACATTTTTCTTTTCCACTTAGCTTTTCTAAAAATTATTTATGTAATAAAAAAGAAAATGCAAAAATTGTATGAAAATTAAGAAAATCAGAATATAAAAATTACTAAATAATAAAAAAAAATATATATATATAGAAAAAATGATAAAAATTAGTCTAAAAGAAAGTTATTAACAGGGTTTCTTAAAAAATGTCAGTAAAGCCAACATGTTTATATAAAAATAAAAACTGGAATAAAAATTTGCAACAGACTCCAATTTGATGTTGCCGATGTTTGATCTGCTAAATTAAAATTTGCAAAAAGGCGTGGTTTAATAGTTACATTTTCAAATTTTTGATCATGTTTGGAGCTGAGGCTATAACTAGTTATAAAAAAAAAAGAATTTTGTCTGCCAAGGTGGAAATGATTCAACCATCTCAGTTGTGTAGACTGGTATATCTGTGATCTCTCCTAGTGGAAAAACTTGAGATTTTATCTTGTACTTTTGAAAGTATTTCAAAACATTGAGATTTATATCTTACACCTGTCTGTTTTTGAGAAATAAAAAAAAAAAAAAAAAGGAAAAAAAACCCAAAAAACTGAAGAATGCAAAGCAACACCTGAGATTGGTAATCCTTTGGAAAATGAACACTTATGATGTCAGTAAAATTCTTTGTAAAAGAGAAAATTGATTTTACATAAACTTGTTTGACTATTTTCAGGCACACAAGGGAAATTTTGTGCAAGGTCTATTTTGTATTTTGTAAAATCTGATGCTGTGTAACTACTTTTTTTATTGTAATAAAAGTTTATTTCTTTTTTTTAATCCCACTTTGAGTAAGAGCCTTTTCTTTTCTTTTAAAATCGCCTCAGAAAAGAAAGATACCCATAAAAAAAACCAACAGTCTAGTTAAGAAATAAAATAAAAGTACAAAGTAACATCTAAGGTTAAGCAGACTATAGTGACTTAAAACAACAAAGATAAGGACAATAGTTCAAACAACATTTAGCATATTTTATTCTTGATCAAAAGTTATTAAACAGTTGGCAATATTTTTCAAGTTGCCTATGTAAAAGTGTCTTTTTCATCAATATTTTCATGCAAGCAAATACAACTATATGAAATGGCTCTACAAATTTATATTACGAAAAAAATTTCATGGATGTTTATATTTTTACATTACTTGGACACAAAAATAAGTAGCCAAGTGACATTTTATGAATATATTACTCTTTTTAGTGGTTTAAGTAAAATAACTATAAACAGTAATGTGTTTGCTTTAAAATCTAGCAGATTGGCAAATATCCATCTTTGAGAAGAGCCATTAACATATACAACATTGTTTGGACACTTTAGTACAATGATTTAGTACAAAGTGTTGGATATCTATAGTTTTACTCTATATTTGATTGTTCCATGTATGTATTGCTTAAAACCAAAAATGAACAGTTTCAAAAAGCAAACATCATTGGTCAACTGATATTTTAATAATAGTTGTACTATTTTATACTATTATTTATAAAAATGTGTGCTGTAGTATAATGGATATTGTCTTGGAATGAGAAATCTGAGAGCAGAGTTCGAATCCCAGTCAAGTTTGTTATATTCACTTACACACAAATACCCTTGAGAAAGGTATGAATCCATCTCTTCTCCTCCCAGTTATGGGTTGAATAACAGGACAGGCTGAGATCTTTAGCCTTGTTCTGCAACCAATCTACTGCAGAAAAAAATGGCAACTTACTGCGAGAAAAAGCTTCTGCCTCATCAGTCATGTATTGAAAGATACATGGTTGCTCAAGGGTTATCACATATGGTACTTAACTCTGATTTAATAAAAATACTTAGAAAGGACAGACCCATGATGACATCTCATTTCCCAGCAGTTAGTGAGAATGGAGTTTATTAATTTTTTTTGGTATTTATACTAAGGCATAGAAACTGTTTACCCAATGCAGATGTATTCAAAATGCTACTGAGAAAATGTTAATTCCTATGTGTTTGGTGATTATTGCAGAGGTGAGTTTAAAATGTCTGCCAGATGACATTTTCATTCTCCACACTAAATTCATTTTTTCATATATTTTGATAATTTTTATTATGGTGGTAAATTTCTAAATTTTAATTTTCAGTAATTCTTTATGTAAAAAATAAATTAAATTCACTCATACAATAAATTTTATTAATGACTAGGTTTTATTTATTGATTTTTAATCCTTTGTAGTGTTGGTGCTGAAGCAAATGATGCTTTTGTAAGCGATCTAGGATTGCAAAGGAAATATTTGTCGCAGATTATTTCCACAACGCAGAGAATAAATCACTAACTTCAGACTCGAACATCGGGGGCAGAAAGAAATACCGAAAACTCGATTTGCAGGTACTATCTCACAAATCACAATGCACACAACCAGCCAGAATAATAACTCACTCTCCAACAAACATGGTAGCCAAAACCCAACTTCTCGTTGATTCAAGAACAACTGCTTTTATCAGCAGAGCATTTTTTCCATTCGTCGACAGCTGGGAGAGGACGTTCAATTTTTGCATATCAAAATACTTTTTATAGCGACTCCTGCAATGGACTTGTTTTTTTAATTTAAATATTCCATCTTCAGCATGTCATGCAAAATACATGGCCTTTTTTTTGGTAAGTAATTTTCTTTTTCGCCACATTTTCCATCATAGGATACATACAACATGCTGTCACTTGGTTTGACGAGGTAAGTCGCCGTTTTCTTCGCTATAGCTTTTAATTTGTTCAATAATGTATTATCACAAATTAAAAAGCTTTCAAGCAAGTTACATAATGAATTGGATAAAAAGCAGTATTTTGCATAAAGATAAATATAAATTATTCTTTACATAACAAAATGGAAAAAAATGTTCATTAAAACATTAAAAAAATTAAGATAACTTGTTTTTTCTGATAAAATAAACCCTGCAATTTTTGAAAAAAAAAAAATGAAACTGAAAAATAAAGTAACTTCTCAAATTTTATATATACGACACACAAAATTTAAATTTAATTAAGGTTGACAAGCTGAATATAGATTGTAGAAAGATTAATTTGATTTTGAATTTCTTAAATAGAAAAAAAGAAAAGAAATTCAAGCAATAGAAAGAGTACAGACTATAATTGCCATAGTTTATAGTATTTGGAATTGATCACTCAATGCAACTGATTTAAGAACTGTAGCTGTCCATTTTGAGCTTTTGTAGATGGACTCTTAGCTATAATACCAGTGTAATGTATTCTTTATATGCCAGCAAATATAGTATATAAAATTATTAGGTTTATATAACTAATTAAGATGCAAGGATGTGTCGATATAAAGTTGTGACATAAAATTTAATAAATTTACTAACAGAAAAAACACTTTATATTTAAGAGAAATAAAGGACTTTTAAGGAATATTAACAATAACATGGGTCATATAACAATGAATTTCCTTTATATTGACAAAACAAAAATATTTAATTTTACAAATTTTATATATTATTTTTCTTATAGAAAAATAGAAAAACCATTTTGATAATTATCATGTGAAACAAACACATCTTATCTGTCATGAACAAGATATGAGCAACATATGCAACCCAAGAAAAAAAATATAATTTAATGATGCATAATATATTAAGAAGCTTGTCAAATACAGATTGGTGGACATTTGTATAGAACATACATTAATTATAGATAAGCATTCTATGCAGCAAAATCATATAAAAATACCAAACAAAAACATATTCAATGCATAATGTGGCCTTGAGACAAGAATAAAACTGAGTAGATAACTACAAAAGTAATAAATATAAAAATCATTGACTGACTGTTAAGATCGTGTGCATGTAAAAGTGTTGCACTTGTTATAATTTAGTTGGCTGAAAAGATAAAAGGCCCTGGTATTATAGAATGTCAGCTATGGTGCCATTCAGGTGTGCCAAACAAATAGTACTTTCCATAACAGCAATTGAAACTGTTCAGTAGCCAGATTCTTGGCTTCAATCCAAGCACTCCCATTCCTTAGAATATATGAGAAATGTTAGGAGCAACCTGCCCTTGTAATAACAACACACATTTCCAAATCATGAAGTGAATCAAGAGCATGGTACCCCACTATAAGTGACTTATTTCTCAAATTCCTTATATTTCTAAAAGCATCGAAAAATTGATGGAAAATATTAGGAAAAAAAAAAAAAACATGTACAATGCTCTAGCATTTTACATTAACTAAGTTGTGTTATGTCTAGTAGAACTTTTGGCTTAATTTAAAAGCAAAAAAAATTTTTTGTTATTCTTTACAAATCATTGCTTTAGAAGCTTATCAAAACATTGATTTATTATTAAACAAGTACATCTAATTAATTTTTAATGTAATTTGTTTAATATTTGTCTATTGCTGATTCCTCTTTGATTTTATACTTTTTATTCAGATATAATTCTCTATTCAAGAAGGTAAAATCTTAATATGTTAAATATTATATATATATGATAATTAAAATCTTTAAACAGAAAATTTCACCTGAGGAGAAGAATATTCACTTGCAGCACAGACAACATGTGTGATGACTTTCGTGGCAAAATTTGTGACAACATTCTTTGCTCATCCACCATCAACTGCACCTGTGTTGACATCCAATATTGACTGTATTTGCATGTACACCCATCTTCGCTATGCTCACAGATTTGTTCACTTGACTGTGATTGTATTTAACAAAATATAATAACAACAACTGTTTTTTTTTGTTTTGTTTTTTGTTGGGAGTTAACAACAATGTTTTCTCACTTAACTGTAGTATCCTTCCTTCAGCTTCAAGAAGTTGACTTCTATCTAACTTCTGGCCACAGAAA